CGGGGCGGGGCGGGGCGGGGCGCGGCACAAGTGGGGTGGGGTTAGTGCAGAGGAGGGGGCAGGGGTAGTGGGACGAAGCAAAAGCGCGCGGCAATTGTTGCAAACCCAATGCTTAAAACAGAAATCGGAATTGGCAGGGCGTTGGGCACAGTCAGAGGGCAGGAGGTGGGCTAGGGGTGGGTAAAAGATGGTAAAAGAAAAAGCTGTGGCCCGAATCCATCACGAAAGGCTTGCGATTTAGAAGCATTCCAAAGTCCAGCGCAAGGTTCCCGACGAAAGGAAGAGTGCCAAGGGCTGGCTGCACGGAGTCATTGCGTTTTAGACGCGGGATTTGGGATCATCGAGACCGGAATTTTACTTTGCACTCATCGACCGCTCGAGCTGTTTCTTCTGAGGGCATAAGGGCAGGACCACCTCTTGATGTTCGGTGCTGCCGAAGAAATTACAGCCTCGCAAGACGGAATCGGGGACGGTGAACGCTTGATTCATGTCCCGGCACCTGTCCAACGAGTTGTCCGGGTTGTGACAGGGTCGCTTCCTTGCAGCTCGGGTGGTTTGTTCGGCTTGCGATTTACAGGCTACAGCGCGGATTTTAACGGACTGAGGACACAACACTCCAGATTTCAATCCGAACTTTTGAACTCGACCTCGATGTTGCAACCTTCGCGGAACCCCACGCTACCCTGTTTGGAGTCTTCAGTCGACTTCCAGCGACAGAGCACCCAAGCATCTTCGCCGTAAGCAATCGAACATCAAGGGCGCCGGCAGCCAAGCAGTCCTGCCATGTAGTGAGATCTTCCTCCTCATCATAACTGGGCCTGGAGGCCATAAAGACGTGTGAAATCTGGGTGGAAGAGCGGCGCCTTGCCGGTTCTGCTCAGAGTCCGGCTTTGTCGCTTCTTTGACACCCGCTGCCGAGAAAACTTTCAAGATCGGGTTCGACCTGATATCCTAACAAATCCCACATGCTGCCAATCTCTGGCCCGGAAGCATCCTGGGAGACGCACAAATGCTTCAAGCCCAGTGCAGCAACCGAGGCCTTTGACTGTCATGTCGTTCTCACACTACATCTTCCTGTGTTCCTGACAAGAAAAGACATCACAAGAAAGGCCGTAACGTAGAAGAGCTGTTCATTCTGCTTGCCACCTTTCCGCATCAGACCAGTGAAGACCTGAAAGCGACTTTGTGAAAGCAACGCACGTGGAAACCGCGCCACTCTGCCGTGGTTTACCGAGAGATGGGCATCCAAGTGGGGCTTCTTGGACCTACAGCGGGCTGCAGCATGCTCCGTGCCAGCAGGAAATGAGCTTCTGCGATCAAGTTCGGGCGAAGCACAGAGTGACCGGTTCGTCGTGGGGCTCCGTTCCTCCAGTAGCGATAGAAGAAAACAGCGTTCAGGCACACTGTGCTTCGGAGCTTTGGCCACGGCCGTCCACATAAATGTCGGACAACAGCTCTAGCTTTGCTGTTGTGCTGGCCTTCACACATGCATTTGGGAAAGAAGCGGACGAAGCGAGAGCGAGAGAGCGAGCCAGGCAGGAAGGCAGGAAGGCAGGCAGGCAGGCACCCAGACAGAGAGACAGAGAGACACAGAGACAGAGAGACAGAGAGCGAGAGAGAGAGAGAGAGAGAGAAATAGAGAGCGAGAGAGAAAGAAAAAGGGAGAGAGAGACAAAAAGCTAGACAGACAGACAGAAAGAAAAATAAAGAGAGAGCGAGAGAGAGAGAAAGACAGAGGAACAGAGAAGGAAAGAAAGAGAGAGAGAGAGAGAAAGAGAGAGAGAGAGAAGGAAACAGAGACAGAGAAAGAAAAAGAGAGGAAGAGGAAGAGGGAGAGAGAGAGAGAAAGAGAGAAAGAGAGAAAGAGAGACAGAGAAAGAGAACGGAAAAAGAAAGAGACACAAAAAAATAACGGAGATAAAGAAGCAAAGAAAATGACAAAGAGAGACACAGGGAAAGAGAGAAAGAGACAACGAGAGAATGAGAGGAGAGAAAGAGATAAAAAAAAATGAATGAATCAAAGAATAAAAAAAGAGAAAGAGAGAGAGAGAGAGAGAGTCTGTGTGTGTGAAAAAAGGGACGACCCGGGACTTGTATTCAACGGATGTTGGTTGTCATTCTTGAACTTTCAAGCTGCTGAGCTTCGCCTCCTTGTTGTGAAGGGATGCGTGGAAGTGAAGCCTGGCAAGCTTGTTGAGGCGGGGTACGCGGTCACAGGATGTCACAGCATAACAAAGCTGCAAAAGTGACAAGGAGACACCAGACAGCCACGGACTAACCGAGAAGCTGGTGACTGCGATACGCGATCCGGTCATCAAGATTGGCCAAGGAATCCTTCACAGGAACGTGCTGCTAAATCGTTACCCGTAGGTGACTGCACCAGGCTCCTTCCACACACCCAAGCTGGTTTCCTCTTGTTCAACGTCGGTGCTTTCGTCATCGGCCTCGATCACTGCCACTGCCAAAAATGATGTCTCCCACAATCCGGGCCAACCCACCTGCAAAGTCTTTGGGCGGACGAAAGCCTCTGCTCGAAGGCCATACGATAGAAGGTCCACCTGGCAGCAGGTCAGCGCAAACAACGATTCGTGGCGTTTCGCCCATGCATACAAGGGAATCTCTGCAGAGAGTCAATCATCTAGCATTTAGGGCTCAAGCATGGATGCGTGCAAGCGGAAGCTGTCTTTTTCTTCTTTTTGGAACAAGTGTGGAAAGCACATGCAGGGCAGGCGACATAACACATGTCGCAGAAAGCTAACAATGTGCGAAAAGAACGGCAGGATCGGCACTTTCGGCTCTTAGCAATGGCTTAACATGGCGTCCAAATATGATGATATGCGGAACCAAAAACACTAAAAACCCGGTGTTTCTGCGCGGCCGGGTTTGTGATTTT